ATACCTTTGGGAATATCCATTGGCCAAGTTGCATGTAGCTTGGGCATATGAAGATACCATCTCATCCGAGGCCGAAACCGAGCAACAAATCTGATCAAAGTTTGACACAGCCACAAATAGGTGGCGCGTGGTCACTCCAGCCACTCATCTAAAGAGTAGTTCTACAGCGCCTCAGTCAGCCCCATTTGAGCAATGCGTGGCTGAGACACTTCAAGGCACAGTTGGCTCCCACGGCCAGATGCTCGTGATAAGAGGGTCTGTCATGTGTATTCTTTCACGATCTCTCTCGATGATGGACCCAGATGGTATCGAGGATTATTGGTAACATCAAACGCAAATTCCATAAAAGTATTTCACCATTTATGCAAGAACGGGTCAATTGAACTACTCAAGGAGCTGTCGGAATTCAGCAACACATTCAAATAGAGCCTTGATAACCCAACGAAATACTAGGCTCACTAAATCAACCCATCAAATTTCATACTCTCTCGCATGCCGCACTATTATTCAGGTGTTATGCCTGTTCTTGACTTGAGGCAATTCATTTCGAAGCAGAGCCTTGCTGTCAGAGACACCGGACAAGACGAAGTTCTCAAAAGATAGAAACTTCTCCTAAGTTGTTGATAGGTGCTGTCGTTTACTCAGTAGCAACTGTCCATCCACCAGTCTCCAGTATTTCTCTATTTTTCTTTATTCAGAAGTTTCCATAAACGAATACAAGGCAAATGACGTTGGAATACTTCCAGATTAGTTGTGACTCCCTTCTTAAATTACCTCCACATTTATCATCGCGAGATATCTAGCAAACTATGAGTTAGATATTTGACAGGCGTGCCCTTCATCCTTCACGTACTCCGCCGCTCGGCTGAAATAGGAAAGGAATGTATTCAGATGAAGCAGATCAATGACCCTCAAGCTCTTTCTCAGTCCAATCCCACAACTCCTGAGCCGCCTTATCCTCATACAGATTCGCCTCTTTATACTCCTTGAACTTTGGATTATAGAATCCTCCGCTCTTCACACTTGTACTCGCAGCCGTGCTGGCCCAAAGCTGAGCTCGCGCACCCGCGTGGACGTCAGTCAGGAAGATCGACCCAAGCACACTGATTACTCCACCGACCCAGGGCCTTCTCTTCCTGAAGTCGTCAAAGAGACCGGTGTTCACGACTCCGGGGTGGACTGCGACGAACTTGATGGAGGGGTATAGCTGGCTCAGCGTGCGGGTGTGGTAGTAGTCTGCGAGCTTGGACTGGCCGTAGCGAGCCAGGCTGGAAATGTCGTCCAGCGGGGTCTTACACTTTGACAGAAGAATCCCCTCCGAAGGCGCTTGTTTGAAAAGTTCTGAGCTCAAGTTGACGACGCGAACATCGGATCCGGGCTGTTCGGCCGTCTTGTTGAGAATCGGAAGCAGCAACTTGGTGAACAGAGCCGGACCCATGTAATTTGATCCAAACTGAACTTCGTATCCATCCTTTGTTAGACCTGGTGGTGTAGCCATCAGACCAGCGTTGTTCATCAAGATGTCGAGACGGTCGGCTGAGGTGAGGAAAGCGTCGGTGGACTTCTTGATCGACGCGAAAGAGCCCAGATCTAGCTCGAGGTACTTGATCTTGTTCTTGGCTGCTGGCACGGCTTGCTCCACTTCCTTGATGGCGGCATTGCCACGGGCTTCTGTCCTGGCTGTGAGGTAGATTGCCGCGGGGTTATGCTTCGCCAGCTGAATAACGCTTTCTTTCCCGAGACCACTGCTGCCACCTGTGACAATAATGACCTTGCCGGCCAGGTCTGGTACGTCCTTCTCTGGGGAGAATGTCATGATGGTGTCAAGATGTGAGCTAAAGTATTCAGCTGGGGCGAATTCGTGACAGAATGAATGGGTGCGATGGCGGGTTGTTATGTGGCACCGACGAAACTGGGTATGTTGATTCGATGATGCTTCGAATGGACATAATTAGCTGAAGGGGTATCATGAATGCCAACGTGGTCGTGTGAATCTCTGCAAAGCAGCGATGGTCAGCAGAGCCAATGGGTCATATTATACTAATTGACAAACTCTCGAAGCCGCGACCAGTGCCAGCTGATTGGTCAACATGGTGCCTTGTCTCGGAGACTTTGCTTTTGCTGCATCGTTCATAGCTGTGGCCGTGTAGCTATCGAAGAGCTTGGAAAGCCGGCGCTGAGCTGAAAGCTCGCTGACCAATCTGGTCACCAGACCACAAATTAAGACCATTGGCCGAGATTTGATATTTCACAAAGAATGAAAAGCATCTGCGGAATTGGGACTTATCTTGGTTTGGCATGCGCCCCGTAGTCGGTGATCAACGAATGTGGAAACGGAACTTGCATTGGTCCGACTCTATCAGGCCAACACGACGCGTTCACTAATCATTTTCAGCTGACGCTGACTGCAGCTGGGTCGGGTGTATTAGTCGGAGGGCCCGAGTTGCTCCCGCGTATTACAACAGGACAGAATTTTGATCAAGCCAATCGATACCTGCGTGCCAATTGGCCAAAAGAATCCAATGGGTGTCCCTTGAATCCTCAGAGTAACATCTTCTTTGTTGACCTAGAGGTGGTTCTGACTTACGATTTTGGTGACATACATTCCGGGGCGCAATTTCATTGACATTTTGCGTGATCACGACAATCCCCGACCTAGGAGTACCCATGGGTCAACATTCGGTATCGAAAATATCAGATTACAATAGATGAAATCATGGAGGCTCGGTAGCACGGGTACTTTACGTAAAGCACGAGATGACGTGGCGAATGACATGGCGACAAAAGATTACGGACTACTTTAAGGTGATGGAAATGAAGACTTAGCATCAGCTTATTTTCATGAACTATCTACCAATACTTCAGGCTTCCAAAGTGAGACTTGAAGAAATTTCCGAAAATGAGTCATCAACAACACTGTTGAGGTAGACAAAGTCCCGAACCTCTTACACAACACAATCCGTTCAAACTGATTTTCCTCCTTAGGTGTAGAGACGGGCAATCGTCTCAGGCAAGTTCAGCTCCAACTCCACGGCTGAAACATTGCGAGACAACAATGCCGACCTCTTCGCAATATCCTGCGCCTCCGTATCCAATTGTTGCTGGAAGAACTCCTTGGTATCCTCAATGACCTGCTCAAGCGACGGCGCCGAAGCTCTGTTGATCGTCTTCTTACCACCGCTGAGAGCCGATAGAGGGAACCAGCTGAAGCGCTGCGTGAGCTTTTCAATGTAGCCGTACATTTCAGCAGAGGTGTCGAATGCCTTGTTAATCCATCCGATGTTCGCGGCGTCCTCTGCAGTGATGTCGTTGGAGCTCAGGACGTACTCCATGGCGCGGCCTCTACCGATTAAGCCTGGGAGGAACTGGCTGCCGCCGCCGCCAGGGAACAAGCCGCTTCCGACTTCTGGTTGACCGAAGAGGCTCTCGCCCCTTGTGGCGAAACGCATATCGAGAGACACAAGAAACTCGTTACCGGCACCACGGGCGCGACCTTCTACAGCCCCGATGGTGACTTGGTGCAATTGAGAGACGTTGTAGATGAGGGTTCCAAATTCTTTGCCAAAGGCAGCTTCAAGGTGTCAGCGATTGTGCCATGAAGGCTATAGGACCGTGAATCTTGTTTCTCGGGTGCACTTACGATCTGCCAGCTCAGGCAGGGAGAGATCTAGATGGGCCATGAAGAATCTAGGAACATCGCTGTTGAAGATGACGACCTTAGTTTCATTATCACCTTGGAGGCGAGAAACCAGATCGGTCAAGTCGTTCTGTGTATCCAGGTTCCACAAGTTAATAGGTGACGACGGGTTGTGAAAAGTCACCGTCAGAACGCTGCCATTTTGGGTTGTCTTTAATCCGGTGTAGTTGGGAAGGCCTATGGTGTATACGGGTCGTACTAAAGTAGCAGCAAAAGCCAGGCCAGAGAAGATGAAAGAATGCATCATGAGTTTTGAGAGACTAGCAGACAGCTTGACACGAGGATTTGAGGAACTGATTGTTTGATGAGAGACTTTGGATGAACCGGTCTTGCTTAGCAGTGGCCTGTTGCTTTAAATACAAACTGTTGTTCCACAAAGCAAGGATACCCGTCGTTACTTGCTTATAAACCAAGTCATTTACGGCGTCGTACGAATTATATGAAGAGATTAGTGATTATTGGCCGAGTCCCTTTCTCTGAGAATCTGAAAGAAGCAACCCAAAGACTAGCTAGTCATTCACTCAGTGGGCTTACGAATGGCTCTCAATGATATTTTTTCTCCGCCATCCAGTCTCGAGATTTGAGAATCCGTTTGGGACTACTCAGTGATGCCTGGGGACACCCCAAACGCGCAGCAGCCTATGACACAATTTGGCAGGATTGTCTCTAGCATCTCGTAGCATTTGGAAGCGTTGAAATCCAAGCAGTCTGCAAAAAATGTGGATTTAGACGGTGGCGTGGTCCCCTAGACCCTCCTTCCATTGACCTAGTACATATTCTGGAGAACTCTTGGGCTTCTACCCAGTCTTCACCTTCCATACCACTTACGCAGCAGAACAATCAACTCTTAAATCTGGTACCCAACCTTCGATTGCTCTGCTGATGTGTGTACCGAAAGCAGGCCTGTGGCTTTCCACACCATGTACCGTTTAGGACTTCAGCCGCAAGGGCTGCTGCACCCTTGCCGCCACGGCATCAAATAAAGTGACAACAAGAACGCCACATACCATTCGGGAGGTCAGCCGTAAGGGAAGCTACTCCCTTGCTGACATGGCGTCCAAAACAACGCCACATAGCCCCCGCTCTTGCTTGGCTGAAAGCATGCGTTGTACGGTTATAACAATCTGATGTTAACCTCTCAAGTTGCCAATCTTAGTATTGGACGTCCTGCACGAACACTGCGACGCTCGTTCGATGTACAGCTGAATCTGATCTTGTCTTGTCCAACACCTACATCGACTTTCTCTTGAATCGCTTCTCTTGTTGCATTTGTCTGATCGTCGATTAGACCCACCAAGAACCGATGGAGAACATTGCGGACATTGTCGAATTTATCCGCCAGCCTGCGGAGGTGCTCTCCCAACATCCAGATGATCTTGGTGCAAAGCAAGCACTTGATAAAGCCATAAAGGCTGCCAAGAGAGCTTTGGAACAGCTCCGTAGTGGTCTCACGGGATCGCTTCAAGACGTCGATGTGATCATCGAGTGGAACGAACAGTTTTTATCGGTCGTGCCAGAAAAGCACGCGTTCCGTGCGACTTTGTTGGGCGATCTTTCCGTCGCATTCTATCAACGATTCTCGATGATGGGATCCGACGGAAACGTGGATGACTTGAACAGGGCCGTGCAACTTGCCGAAGAAGACGTCCCAGCCACGCGCCCAGGAACGGAGCAGCGGATCTTCGCTTTAGCCAACCTCAACACAATCTTACAAAACCGGTACGACTACACGAGAGACAAGAAAGACATCAAGCGGGCCATCAGCGTGGGTGAAGATGCAGTGGAGAGGATACCCGAGGACTGGCGTTACGCTGCCCTGATCTTGCGTCAGCTGGCCATCCCGCGTGCCAAGCTATTTGAGCACACACACAGTCTAGAAGATGCCCAACGAGCCCTTGAAGCGGCCGAGTCTGCTGTGATGAAAGCAGAGTCACTAGGGGACAAGGCAGGCGTGGCACTCGGTTCCAACACTCTAGCAAGAATCCTGGGGAGGCGGTTCGAGCAAACAGCGAACATGGAGGATCTCGACCGTGCAGTCAGCGTCCTCACCAACACTATGAAGCTCATCCCAAAGAGCATGATCGACTACGTGGTTGGCTTAAGCTATCTGGCAACCCTACTGGGCATCCGTTTCGAGCAACAAGGCGATGTGGACGATCTCACTGCAAGCATTTCATACACGAGGAGTGTGCTGCAGTTGATGAGCAAAGATGATTCCGATAGACCTGTTCAGTTGTACAACCTAGCGAACAGGCTTGCCGAGCGTGCGCAGTACACCGGCATTCTCAGCGACCTCGATGATGCCGTTGATTATGGGCAACAAGCTCTACACCTAGTGCGTCCAAATCATCCGGAACGGACGAATTGGCTTAGGGGACTCAGCCAGTTTCTGGGTATGCGATTCAGCATGGGTTCAAAGAGTCCGGAGGACATTCAACAAGCAATCGACCTCAGTAGACAAGCGGCTAAGGCGGTTGACCGCGATGATGTGGGGATGCGTGCGGCATTGGTGAACGTTCTTTCAAATCTGCTGAAGGAAAAGTACGACCAATATGGGGAGGTTTCCAACTTGGACGAGGCCATTGATGTTCTCGGGGAAGTTCTTTCAGGAGGTCTCCCAGAAACTCTTCCCGAGAGAGGATACTTGGAATTTGGCTTGGGGAATGTGCTACACACGCGAAGTCACCACACTGGTGATGCCACGGATTTAGAGACATCTAGAGGGGCCTTTCAGCGAGCATGGGACTCTCGGACTGCTCCATTGATGATTCGAATCGAGGCTGCGGTTGGGGCTGCTGAGGTTGCCAAGGAGCGTCTGGAGAGTCACGATTCCCCTGATGCATCGTTGCTACTTGGATATTGGACGGAAATCTCGTCGGACCTCGACCATGCCCTCAGTATTTTCCATGCTCTAAGCCCCCGACATATGCAGAATGTCAACAAGCAACAAATGTTGAAGAGATTCGCTGGCCTCGGAGCCCACGCCGCCGCTGCCGCCTTGAGTGCAGGGAAGGAGGCCTCATATGCCTTGCAGCAGCTGGAGCTGGGGAGAGGCGTCATATCTGGCCTTGTTCTTGGTCTCCGGACAGACTTGTCATTCCTCCGAGAGACACACTCAGAATGGGCGGATCAGCTTTCCAGTCTTCGCAACATGCTGGACGCTGGTCATACCACTCTATCACCAACGGGGTCATTGGAGTCGGGCGCACAAGCTCGCCGCCGAGCTGAAAAAGATTTTGAATCCCTTCTCACAAAGATCCGCAACGAGAAAGGTTTCGAGAGATTTTTGATGCCGCCTACCGTTGAGCAGCTCATGGAAGCGGCAGACCCAGATCCTGCTGTTGTGGTCAACGTGTCTTCGTTTCGGTGTGATGCTTTTATAGTTGAAAAGCACCGCATTAAGCTGCTGGAGCTTCCCCTTTTGAGTCTCAAAGACATACAGGCATATGCCAAGGGACTGAAGGACCGTCCCGATTCGCTGTCTTCCGTGTTAGAGTGGCTATGGACCTCGGCAGTGCATCCAATCCTCGACGCGCTTGGTTTCGACCGCCCTCTCGCTGTGGATGAAGATTCATGGCCGCACATTTGGTGGATACCGGTCGGACCTCTTAACAGTTTACCACTGCATGCCGCTGGATATCACAACAAGCACTCTGGAGAAACAGCTCTCGATCGTGTCATGTCGTCATACAGCTCATCACTCAAGTCTCTGCTTGCAGGCCGTCGCCAAACGATGCCACAGTATGGTTCCGGCCCAATCAACGCCCTGTTGGTTTCAATGAAGAGCACACCATATCGCTCCCCGCTGCGGTACGCAGAGCTAGAGGTCGCCATGCTGGAGAAACTATGTCCGGCGCTGAATGCGACGCCCATACGGCCAGTCCAAGACAAAGCAAACGTCTTGGCACAGCTCAGCTCATGCGATATCTTTCACTTCGCGGGTCACGGCACGTCGAACCCATTGGATCCCTCCCAGAGTGCTCTCCTACTCAGCGACTGGGAGAAGAGCCCGCTGACGGTGGAAGACCTCCGCAACGAGAAGCTGCAGGAGAAGCCACCATTTCTTGCCTATCTCTCTGCTTGTTCAACAGGGGCAAACGAGGTACTTGGATTAGTTGATGAAGGAATCCATCTCGGCTACGCCTGCCAGCTCGCAGGCTTCCGACACGTTGTAGGCACCTTATGGACTGTGTCTGACCCCTTTTGCGTCAACGTAGCCCAAAAGTTTTATGAGACGATCCGCAATGAGGGAAAGACAGATACAGCCGTCCATCGCGGACTCCACCTAGCGTTGAGGGAGTTACGAGACGTTCAGGTCGGCGCCAACATTCGCGGCTCTGGCACTGACGTGATTGATGCTGTAGGTCCAGATGATGAGGGAAAAGAGGGGGCCATATCATGGAGAGATGTCAATGACAACGATGGCAGCAATGATGGAGGTGGCACTGCGGTGAGTTCTGGGTCAAGAAAAGGAGACGGAGTCGACGATGAGGAACCGTCTATGAATTCGCTTTGGGTTCCATTTGTTCACTTTGGTGTGTGACCAAACCCATTTGTCCGGGATAGCTACACAACCTCAGCGTTCAGTTGATAAAAAACAGTAACCCATGGCCGATGGGTCTTATTCATCTTCTTCTTCATCAGAATCCTTAGGTGCGATATGGCCTCCCTCTCCAGCTTTGCGAATGCGATGCCAATCATCTCCAAATTGCTCAATCGAAACTGTGTAAGGGCCATTCTCATCATCTTCCACAACAAAAGCATCGTCACCGCCACGCCAATTCTTCTCCGACTCCTCCCGCAGAGACCCAAACAACCCAGTCTTGATCTTGACGCCAGCAAAAAAGACAACGCGTTTTTGGTCCTTCCAAGTTGACCAGCCGCTGCTCGACGCGCCCCTAACCCACGACACCTTGGGACCGACCTTGGCAACGTCAGCAGCGCCGACATCAAACCCAACCGTGGCGCTGCCCTCGGAGCTATCCCATGTGGTAATTCCGACATCGGCCGACGAGTAAGTCCACGTCACAGCACAGAGACCATGTTTCTTCGCATCAGGATACTTGGAAAACAGCACCTTGGCATGGATCTGAAGCCACGCAAGGAACGGATCGCGAAAGTCAAACCCTTCAGACACGACCTCATCCTCGCAGAGCAACACGGCCCCAAAGCTGCCCGCGGTGCTGTATTTGAAAACACCACCCACCTCGACTGGCAGACCCACGGCCGCCCCGCCGACGCCCGCTTCTAGCTCCACGCTTGTCTCGGTGACTTTGTCTGCCGTCAGCGGCCCGTACCGGCGCGGGTCGGGCGGGCTGCGCTGCAGGTATCCCAGCGGGGCGAACCCAGCGGCCTTAACGGCCTCGGCGTCGGCTAGGTCGAGGATGGGGTGCCACCGCTGGTACTCGTCATCGAGGTAGCCCAGCATACCTGGTCGCAAGCGGGAGAAGGGGGCTGGCTCGTAGAGCGCGTAGCCGAAGCGGTGACGGCGCATGGCAGTGCGGTAGGTGCGGGCTAGGCTTAAGTTACCCATTTTTGGTTGTAAAAGTTGGTCTGTATGACTTTTTGTTGGATTTGGTCTCCTTTGAGAGGTTTGAACGTTCTATGTGAACTACCGAGATGGGTTTGGCATGGTAAGCAAAGGATTATGCCGTGGCGACCATGAGGCGACGTCGATCTCAGGCTTACTAGGCGAACGAGCAGGCAAGTAATACTTAAGTTTTCAGCTAGAGGGAGGCGGCCTCGCATGCCGTATTAACTGGTGGCAAGATAGGTACCCAACCAGGTCTTTCTGTTGGGCATTGTCTCACTGTAGTACCCGAAAGCTCCACAATCTGCCAAACCCACGACATATGATTTGAGCAAAGCAAGCCAAGAAAAACACGGCGCAGCGGATACGTATACGGGATTGACAGAAATATGATAATTGACGGCTGGAGCAGCAGTCTGGTATGAGACTGCATGCGGTGCTTTACTTTCACGAGGCATGCCTGAACGTAAACGCGAGGCTCTTGAGAGTGGTGTAGGGTGTATTCCTTATGAGTTACTGATGCAGGAATTGAGCTTCAGCAACGTCATTCTTTGACGAATGTGAGTGTGATACTCCCATATGCTCTAACCTTGACCGTGCTGCACTCAGGTAGTTAGAAATTGTCGTCAGTTTACCAAAGCTGAAAAGAAGCTAAAGTCTAAAGTCTCGAAATTGCTACTATAGATAGGCTGAAAGGCATACCTCCATCAAGACGTAAAGGCCTCATATTCCAGTCACTGCGACGACTTCACTAGGGCCAACGACTCTTACAGCTGCAGGGGCGCTCGATTTGTTACATTTGGCGACGGAAGCATGGATCGACAACTCCCCTACTGTACCTTAAGGTAGTATGAATGACCACTTAAGATCTACGTATCTAAGACTGGATTACGAGCCCACACAACATGAATGATATATGTACCACTGGAATCGCGCGTACAGAACTCATTTGCTCTGGTTCTTAAGGAGGTTAAAAACCAACCATTTGTCGGTGTAAATTAGCTTAGTGTTGATGGTCATTCTCAGCAGCAGGGTCCATGTTAACATCATCCCAGTCGGCAAAGACCGCGTCGCCAATGCTAATAGTCCCCGTAGCAATGGGTTCACCCATTCCCCTCTTTGCCTCATCGTAAGTCTTGTACACAGACGCCTTGTGGTCAAAACCCTTCTTCAAGGAGAAGCCTGGAGCTTCGAGATTCAGGACATGCTTCTGCTTATCCGATTCTTGTACCGTCGACGGCCTGTGCGATTTCAAGAAGGATCTGTTGTCAGTCATGGACTCATAAAAAATGCCGTAACCAAGGGGAAGAGGCACTTACAGCGGCTGCAAGCTGGCTTCAAACACATCATCCAGCACGACAACCACACCATCCTTGAGCTGCTCGTCAGTCAGATGCTCAGTCAGATTCGTCTTGACCAGGTCAGCGCTGATCTGCGCATTCGGCGCCGTCTTAAGAACATGGTCCATGTGAACCTCATTCTTGCTGCCGTAAAGGTAGAAGGGCATCTTGGCCGGGTACTCGTCATCCAGCGCGGCAAACGCCATTGACTCATCAACCACCACCCGCACGTTGCTGAGCGCGAAGCCCTCCTCCAGCGGCGGCGTATCACCCGCAGGAATGCCCTTGTCCAGTCTGAACTTGAGCTTGGATGCGGTGTCGGGCTTGAGCAGACCATCGATCAAGTTCTCGAGCATCTCCTTCTCCACGTTGGCGATCGTGTAAAACTGGCCGGGGTTCTTGTCGCGCTCCTCCTTGTACCGCGCCTGCACGTTCGCGGGGAGGTCAGCCGTAATGATGAGCTGCTTGCGATGGTTGGCCATGTTGAACATGGCGATGTGGGTGAAGTAGAGCTTCTCTAATCCCTGCACGACGAAACCGTGGAAGTCGGGAGTCCGCTTATTGCGGATGATGACGCGCTTCACGCCACGCTCAGCGATCTTGCGGAAGTTCTTGACCATGCGACTCATAAAGTCGGGGCTTGTAGGCCATGGGCTCATAGTCACGTTGACCAGAAAGCGCAAGCTGCCTCGCGAGGGCTTGGCATTTCCTTCTTTGTCGGTTATCTTGAGACCCAGGCGAAGCTTGAAGGTCTCAAGACACTTGCCGTACGCCTTCTCCCCGAACTCGGAGGATGTGAGGAAGAGTGGTCGATCTTCGACCACGTCCTTCTCGGATGAGACAGAGAGTTGGGAAAAGATCCATTGGTTGAGATAGTTGGCTTCGCCCTGGTTGATCACGGGCCATTAGCGTCTACATGCAAGATGGGGATTGATTTTCTGGGCGGACGAAGGGGAGTTGACATACGACATCCTTATTCACCTCATTGCCAATTGCGAAATTGGTCGCAAAGGCATTGATCATGAGATCGCCTCCCAGCTCACACAGCAGGTTCCAGGCCTTTTTGTCCTCGAACAGTGCTTTGTTATCACGGCCGAGAATATTCTGTCGGATATAATCTTTCTGGACCTCGACACCGATGCCTGGTGTTTTCTCTGAAGGGAGCTGAATGAGAGGCACAACGATGAGTGAGTCAGCGGGCCTATCTTGGGGCTTCGGCGTCATTGTGGCCCAGTGGCAATAGAGCTATTGGGGAGATACAAATGTTAGTCCATAAAGGGCTATCTATGCGTAGGGGACTGAGGGCTGAACAAACCTTGGTGCACGAGAAAATGGCCTCGCCGAGCAGTCTGCCGTAGCCCTCCTGATCAAGGCCCAACGACTTGTGGGTGAGCCAGGTAGCGACGGCTGATGCGCCAGGCTTGCTTCCCTCAACGCCATAAACGCCCATACTGCCCTTGTCGTCGCCGGGGTGAAACACTATGGGACTCGTCCAAGTGAGAAGATAGCGCATTCGCCCATCCCGATAGCAAAGTCCGCCAGCAGGGTAGTTGATGTATCCCGATCTGTGGTAGTAGGTGTCAGAGAAGCGAAGACAAGATATCAACCACATGGGGAAGGGGAAATGACTCACTTGTGCGGATCGATCGTGATGCTATCCGCGTGCTTCAGGGCTTCCAGCTGCGTCTTGGTGTATGGATTCAGGGGCATTGCCGGCACGTACGGGATGCCATCGCGGTCCCCTCTCTCCCACAACAGCGAGGCAAAGTAGCCACCCCACGCGGCATCACAATGAACTGCGAATGACACACCTTCTTTCTTTTGGTACTCATCACGGATCTTGATGATCTCGGCGAGCGGGTCGCACGCGCCGTGCTCTGTAGAGCCCATAATGGCGACGACGCCGAAGATTGGAGTGTTGCTTTTTATGCACTCGTTGAGCTTTGTCCTGAGGTCGTCCACATCCATCCGGGCCTCGTTATCGACGTTGACATCGACGAAGTTTTCGGATCCAATGCCCGAGATGGCTTTTTTAAAGCATGTCAGCGACCTGAACGCCTAGTTTCACGATTCTGAACGATCAATGAACTCACCTCCGCCCTTGGGCCAGGAGTAATGCTTTGTCGCACAAATCATGTATTTTCCAGAGTTGATTTCTAACTTGCGCTCCAAATCATCTTTGCCCGTTGTCTGGACCAGGAACGGCTTGATCGCCTCCTGTAGAAAGCCCGGGCTGATGGAGTACTTCTCACCCAGTAGGGTGGGGATTGATAGAACGGAAGAGGGCGTCAGATTCAAGAGCTCCTTGACAGTGAGTTGCATGAACTCCTTCGATCCTGAGTTGCACGTCTCGACCTTGAAGGGCGGCTCGACGGTGCTAAGGAACTTGAGGGGCCCTTCCTCAATGGCGAGCTTGAGGGAAACAGGATAGAACTTGAGGTTTCGCGCTACATGGCGAGAAAAGGAGTGTGATTAGATCTTGTGCCTTGTGTGAAGAAGAGCAGGGAACTCATACTTGCCCAAATGGCCTCAAGATTGGCCACGGAACCATCCTGCAAATATCAAGAACGTGTAAGAACTCATTACTGCCCCTTGACATGATAGCGATTGGGGCTAGCTATCAACGGAGCCACTCACACAAGTGATGTGCCCCCAGGGAGCGGGGTTTCCATC